TCAAATGTAGGTGCGTTGCGCGTGGCAAGCGCACTCATAATGTAAGAGATGCTGACGTGACCACAACATTGCCCAACATCAAATAGCAAATGTAATGTAAGCGGAACGAAACTGAGCTACTAATTATTGTGTGGTTGATGGACCGTTTATCAGTTTGGACCAATGTAGCACGAGTTAGTTAGTCATGGATGTGGAGCTCTTGGCATCTCAAAAATGCCACGCTGATATAGCCTAGAAATCTAGACGCACCCTAGCGGCAGCAAAAATTATTTTGCAGCAAAGTGTGGTCTAGCAACTCTCCATAGACGTTTTAGCTGGAAAACCCCAACTCTGGTAGGGCCAATCACATCGTGTATAGAGTAGGCGGGCGGGCTTAACATAATGACGACAGAGTTGCGACGGTCAGAGCAAGCTCGGACATATTCGGTTTGAAGTCGTTCATCCTCGGATGCGGCCGGCGCAGCGCGCTGTTACAAAAAAGCTGTGGCGAAAGGATCAACTTGTCATTTTTTGCCGTGCTGTTGCGTCGGCTTTACTCCGTGTCAGCACGTGCTCTGATCGGTGCACGGACCTCTCCCGAATCATCTCCAGCACTCCAAAGCACCACTAATCCGCCTATGTCTAACAATAAATCACTAAGCTTAATTTAGGGTGTAGATGAAATTAACTTTAGTTATTATCATTTATAATGTCTTAATATTAATTAATAAAAGTAGTTAAAATATGTATATGGAGTGAAAATAGCCAATAAACATCCTACTGTTTACAATGGTATTATTATTATTTTTTAAGTGTTTAAATAAGAGTTTTCCAACATCTAAAATTTTTTCGTTTAAGGACAATCTTTAAAGGTTGAACAAAAAATGTGTTGGTATGGTAATCACATAAAAAATACAAAAAAATAAAACATTTAACGTCATATATGATATTATAGAAGTGCTGGGAAAAGATGTGTAGTAGGCTACTTACACATTATCATATTTGTGGTTCGCGTTAACTTACTACATTAGCCTAAATTCATGGTTCTGTTAGGCTGATTTGTGGACTGAAAGCCTTCTTTAAGTATTTCTCCTGGTTTCCACGTCAGCGCTGTTTGATCTGATATGGTTTATAACAGAACTCTGCGCCGAATCGGAGTGTTTCTCACTGGATCTCGTGGTGTTGATGTTATTAATTCTGAGGCGAATTCAATGGATTTCTTCACTGGATCTCCTAGTAACAGTGTTGCGTGAGCGAGATCGGCCCGCGACTGCCAAGTTCGGGGCTTTATTTTGTCAATGGTTCGGATCGCTGCTGCTGCTCCACGGTCCTAATCATATATGAGTGGCGTATTTTCGTTCCACTTTCATTTTGTTTGCATTCGCTGCTAGGTAACGACTAACGAGTCGATAGATCACTGATTGTTCAGACTCACATCAGGTTGTGATATTTGTTTCCGTCTCCTTCCCACAGACGTTTACGCGTGCTTCTTGTCATGGATTCATTCGCGCCCCTTCCACGCTTTACCATGCGTGTAACGTGTGGCAAATTTACTGGTCTCACATGTGCGACTGGATGTAAAATTCAGTCGCGCACTCTCAATTTTTGGTCGCAAAATGCGACCATTTGGTCGCAGTCTGGAGCCCTGCACACATACTGTCTCTTTCTCTCTCACACATATGTAGGCTAGTTATAAACTCTTTAGACTTTTAATGATTATTGTTTTATTTTTAAAGTTTGTGGGTCGTGTAAAAAACAAAAAAAATCCCTTATTTTGGGGATGGATTCCGGGAAATTTCCCTTATTTTCAATGTTCAATGTTGACAGCTGTACTGGATACGATAAAAGTTTAATATATCAACTTGCTCCGCTGACTACGTCACCTTCTTCGTTGCTCTGATTGGCTTTAGCGCTATCCAATTACGCGCAGAGAGAATTTGAAAGACAACCGTTTATCCCACCCCTCGGATTGAGCCCTGTCAATGAAGAGTTTCCAGACCTAACATCTTGATGTAGGTCTGGCATGCCAGGCTAACGCTGATATTGATCCTCATTTTAGTTCTCCTTGTTTGTCCCAAAGTCTGCTTGCCATGGTCTATGTTTGAAAGAAACAAAAACACTCTGTGCCGCTAAACGTTAAACGCACTATGCAATTGTCCACGTCTGTCACCATTAGGGGTGCACGATTCAGAAAATGTCACGATTCGATTCGATACCGATTTTTTTTTGTCTCGAGATTCGATTCAAAATCGATTTTCGATTCAAAAACGATTCTCGATTCAAAAAACGATTCGCAGGTTTATATAAATGTAGTTTACTTTTTCCAATGTGATTGATTGCAGTAGACATAATTTAAAAGAAAAGTTTGATATTACTTTATATGTCTTCATACAAAATAAAAACTTTTGCAACTAAAAAGTGCGAAGTGCCAAGCTTTAAATACATTTAATTCAAGTTTAAAATAAAACTTAAATAAAAAGCTTTGACATTTAGCTTTAAAGTGCTGTAGTCAGATCAAACAAACAATTATGCTAAATGTGGTTTAAGGAGTAAGTTAGGCCTACTTCAGCTACCAGGTTGACTGTTGAAATGTGAACTCGACTGGGCACATTGAACTTCCTAAAAATATATACTAATTTCATAGAACCCATGCGAAAATATTTTAAATAGATTTAAAAAAGCCACCGCTGTAACATCTATGGTTAGATTGATTTGTTTAGATCCAGTGAAGTCGTTCATAGGCGCGTAATTTGCGGCTATCTCCAGTTTACTAGCAGAACATTCATTTAGTTCGCTATTAAATAAGAGACCTGTTGTTTTTGAAATCAAGCTGAGCGCTCGTGTCCGCTGCGATCAGTGTCATGGATACAGTGTTCTCTGTGGCTCGCGCAGTCTTCTCTCGGACGCGCGCTTCAATCTATCGGCGTTGTGGAGACTCCGGTGAAATCACAAAATAAAATGCACACTAACGTGATGAACATATTCGGTTTTGATGAGAGAGAGAAAAAACTATACGAGTGCGGTTTAGAACCCGTCACCCCTGACACGCTTGGCAAAAGATCTACTGAACTCAAACATAAGATCTGCGGATCGATGCATTTATTTACGGGTTGAACAGAGTGGCTGCACAGTTTGACCAGCGGGCGGCAAGAACTTGCAATAACTATTTATCAGACCGGCCCTCGCAGCTTCGAAACCAGGGTATGTGAGCGGAGTGGAGCGGCAACAATTTCCCCTCCACGCTCCAAGCATTATATAATCACTCCGCTCCAGCTCCGCTCCGGGTTCACCATTTACCGCTCCCGCTCCACTCCTCGCTCACTGATATCAGAAACACCGCTCCGTGTTCGCTCCCCAAGGAAATTCCGAATAAAGTATTTAAGTATGCTTTAAAATCTCACAAAATGTCTCCTCATCATAATAGATACATAGGCATAGTAAATAAATAAAAAACAACGTTTGGAGAATAGTTGCAATGTTGTTTATTGGATTTGGATAGTGTGCAAACTTTTCCTATGACATGCTATGCTTACTATTACAGGTTATCAGCATTATAAATTAAATATCATTGCTGCTTTTTGCAGAGCACATTTTGTTTGGAAAGAAGAAAATAACTACGTTTTCATCAGTTATTTATCTACGGGTCGCTACATTTCTCACAGATTCATGCTCATTTAAAATCAAATACTGACAGATAGCCGACTGTATGATTACATTTGTTTGAATGCAATGCATTAGTGAGAAAGCGATTGCGTTGGTGAATAAGTGTTACCTGTTTAAAATGTGCTTTCACCCCGCCCGATCCAGCGCCCCATCTCATGAAAGTGCGTAGGCTATATTTTATTTCTCGTGGGCATAGCCTACGATACGCACTTAATGGCAAGAACGCACTTCACACCCATCCTAACCAAGGGGTTTAGTGTGCGTCATTTGCACGCACAAACAATTTTTTGGCATATAATAATAGGCACGAGAAATAAAATGTGTGCTATAGATTCGCACTTTCATGAGATCGTGGTGCCCGCTCATATTCAGTATAGGCTTGATAACTATAACCTCCCGCAGCCACTCATGTCCATCGGCGTCATCATAACCCTCACATTTTTTTCTGATTTGAGTGATCCATCTGTATCATGCTAGCGTAATGTGTTTAACACGTGAATCCTTACTAAAAATGCAGTTCTATAATGAGCCGTTGGCATGAATTGTCCTCGTGATAGAGCGGTAGTGGAGCGCGCTCGGAGCGAGTGAAAACCACGACGCTCCGACTTTTAAAAAATCCGCTCCGCGCTCCATTCAAAATCATGCCGCTCCACTCCTCGCTCCGCTCCCACTCCACTCCGCTCACATACTCTGTTCGAAACCATATAAACACTACCGGACCACCGGTAAAAGTCCCGACTCACCCGATTGCCACTCCGCCCCAGCACGCCATTAAAAATATAGCCTATATATATATGAATCGATTTTTGGAATTCTATGAATCGATTCTGAATCGGTAAAGATTGAATCGCGATTCAAATGTGAATCGATTTTTTTGCACACCCCTAGTCACCATGGTTACGTCATGGCTATGGCAGTATGAACTGAAACCGAGGATAGCGCTGATATTGCGTTATTGACAGGCGACATTTTTTTTCCGGGATGGCCACTTACTTAAAATTTGAATTTCTCTGAAATAAAGAATTTTAGGAGACTGCAGGAAATATATCACACTGTGCTAGTGAGCACAGCCCTACCCTGAATCTTTTATTGTGCTTTTATAAAAGCTTTGTCCTTTGAGTAATAACCAACACAGTATCGGATTCGTATCGATTCCATCTGACACCCAATCCAGCTGAAAGATCAGTGCCGAGACAGATGGGGATAGGATCAGTCATCCCCAGCTGTGAATAGTAATGTTGAAATGTAAAATGATTAACTCCAATTGTAGTGTCCAGGATTTAAAATGTTTTTCACAGTGTGTTTGTGTGAAATGTTTGTGTTGATGGCGTTACAGTGAGTGTTTTTGTGTGTTCCAGCTCTGTGTCATGTCTGTGAAGAACCCCTCAGACCTGCTCAATGAAAACACCTACATCCCACCTTCACTGACCCTTGACCTCTGCTTATCCTATGAAAGAAAGCTGGGCCTGAAAGATACTCCTGGTTCAACCTCTTTCTCTCCAAAGAGCCGACACAACTACGCCAGCACAACCTCCATCCAGCTCCTCAAAGGCATTATGGGTGGACTAGAGAATGATGATGCATCCCTCCAACACCAGGAAGATGAATGGAGCAGAAATCAGGAAAATGAACACAGTCTTCCAGTCTCTGAGAGCAACATCAAGTGGATGAAGGAAGATCAGAACCAACTATGCAAGTTAGCAGAGCAGCAGCAGCAAGACCAGAATCTCAACCTGGTGGAAAACAAGAATGAATCCACAGACAGAAACCCAAACCAGAACTCACAGCGGCGAAATGAAGAGAAGAACAAGACCCTGAAAGCGCTGTGCTCTGACTTGCAGGACTGGGCGACCGATGAACCTCTTCTCATCTACTCTTCTGCCGCCATGATGGAGAACAATCAGGAAAACCAACAGCAGATAAGAGACAAGGAAGCGGAAAGAGTGGAAGAGGAGAGCTTGAATCCGTGTGTGTGCGTGAACACAGACGCTGAGGTGCAGAGGAGAGCCGGTGAGGGTGGCAAGAGCGCTCTACTGTCAGGCAGGACTGGCGTGACCAGTGACGAGGACTCCAGCTGCATGTCTCTGTCCCAGGGCAGCACTGCGAGCAGCACCCCCGATGGAGAGCCAGGTACAGCACACACTCCAGCAAGCGCTCACAGACACACACAGCAAGCGCTCACAGCGGGGCTGTTCAATTCTGGGCTGTTTACACCAGGGCTGTTCAATTCATTTGGAATTGGGGCCAGTTCATGAAACTGAGGCAAAATAAGGGGCTGGAGAATATGAGTCATTATGGTAACAAATAAAGAAATTACAACAACATACTGAAGAAATAAATGTTCTATTTTGTAAGTGCAGAACATCACATTGTGATTCACTTAGACACATAGGGACAAGGCAATAGAATGTTGAAAAATCAGAGACACAGACAATTGGAGAAATGCAATCGACCAACAGAGAACATCCACTTATTGGGCTCTATGCACGGCGGTATTTCCGGTGAAGGTGTAAGGATGCTCGATAACTTCCGCCGATCGTAGAGTCCAATGCAATACCGAGAATTTATATTGAATTTTATATTACTCCATGGTTATACTAAAGAAGCGTTAGTCACAAAAACAGATAAAACAGACATCCCTCGTTATGTTTATGCTTCTTTTTAAAATTATATTAAATAAACATAACTATATATAAAATTACATCTAAACGTGTGTACATTTCGTTTCAAAGACGGGAGGACAGTAAATTTTGAAGACTCTGCCATAATCCTGTTTTCCTCGGTTTTCCTCCGCTTAAATCTCCACAACCGGAAATGGACGAGCATCCTTGCGTCAAATGCGGAACTTATGCGTGCATATAGCCCATTGCAGGGATGCAAACAGCACGCTTTTCAGCGCCTCCAGCTTTTTTCATGTCAGTTTGGGTGACTTGTGTGAACCGTGCAAATCCGAAGAGATTTTTTTTGGGGATCTGATTATAATATCACCAACAGTAATTCTGGATTGCCTCCACCAAACAAGTAAATAGGAAATAAGCAAATCAGAACACTGCGTGCCAAAACAGCAGTATGCGCGCAAGCGTGAACCAGTAGTGTTTCTTCCAATAGCTCGTGGCCTGATTGGAGGTAGCTCGTCGGGTCGCGCATGGATGGCATTCTGCGTGTGTATACTGTTCTTTGCCCTCGTATCCTGTGCGCGAGATTTGAGACTAAATAAACGCCGTAGGGCCGTTCCCATATTATGTCTTTTGTGCTCTCAAGTTCGCTCTTTCAAATTAGCGGCAAGCGTGCTCATAATTGAAGCTAATTATTTTTATTTTTTATTTTTTTTGTCCCAGGCGCAGCGAGATGAAAACTTTTCAGAATGGTGCAATTTTACTATTAATAATAAAAGATAAGCTAATGTGCATTGATGTATATATCAAGTAATTTATTTGTTTTACTCATTCTTTTTATACAAATTATTTAAAGGCTGACATATGGGAGGTTTATCTTTTTATAACACCTTTTTTTGTGAAAAATGATTTAAAGGCTAAAACATATTTACTATATGTGCCTAGGGGTGGGCTGGGGATGGCAGGGGTTGGTGACAATGTAAGTATCTGGATATTTTCCGCAGGGCGAGGGCTTTGATTACCTCTCTTTTTTGACCATACATGTGTTTGCATGCCTGTAATTGCACATAACTGTAAAACATAACTTTACAGCTTGTTATCCTCAATTGACAATGAGGAGATACATTTCAGTGTTAAAGGTAGGGATGTCCCGATCCGATCACGTGATCGGAAATCGGGCCCGATCACGTGGTTTCAGACTCGATCGGAATTGGATGTTACCTCCCTATCAGGATTCAGATTTCGGATATACATGTATATATATTCTCAGTATTTTTAACACGCCTATAGTTATGCGGAGGCACAGAGTGGCCTGTGACACACTGGCTGCGTGGCGGCATCTCAGCTGCGTGGCGTGTCCGTTTTTATTTCGGCTCCCATGTTAACAGGTTAGAGCTTGCAGACTGCCTGAGTGACACGCAGGTGCATGGTAGAAATAGAACCGACGCCTATTTTTCACGCGACACACAAGCGTTGGAAGCGTTTCCAGGCAAAATAGAATAAGAAAAGATGTTTATATGTTATTTTGTATACAAATACATATTAATACATTAAATATTGATGGTTGAAAGTCTAGGTTTTGACAAATTCTGATATTTATTTATTTATTTATTTTAAAATTATATTTATATCAATTTTCAAATATTGCACCTGTCAATACAGAACAAAATATTCTGTGGTCTATTTTGCTGTCAATACTGGTGATAGTGTCTTTATATTTATGCTGAACATTATAAAGTTGATGACAACAACATTACCATAGCAAACTGTGAGAGATGTAAACTTGGGATCTCAAGAGGTGGAAAGAAAAAGGCTACATTTAACTCAACAAACCTGATACGGTACCTCAAAAACAAACACCCGACACAATACAGCAAGTTTACCCAGGCAACCTAGCCGAAGACGATTCGGCTCACGCTGCAGGAGAGTTTGAAGTAGGGCTGGGTATTGAGACAAATTTCACAATTCGATTCGATTTCGATTCACAAGCTTGCAATTCAATTTCGATTCAATATCGATTATTTTGGATATCAGTTACAATAAATGGCAAATTTTCTCAAGGGAATCAAATCTCTTAACTAATGCTGTAAACTATGGGAGTCTAGTTGTAGCCTACTAGGCTTCATTAGCCTAATATGAAGCAGGGCTCCAGACTAACATTTTGCCTTGGTTGCACTGGTATGCCTAACATTTTTATTTAGGTGCACCAGCACAAAATTAAGGTGCACTCAAATTTTTTCTCATCTCGCGTCACTTTTAATGCCACAATTTCAAGGTCACCTTTTTATCATGCTCCATATAATATATAATGTAACGCAAATATATAATGTAAATGCTTTTAAAAAAGAATAAGATGTAGTTTTTTTGTGTTTTTTCCACAATTACACTGTATATAAAAATATAAATCTTTTAAAAAAAATTAAAGTGCTGTTTTTACATTGTTCAAGTTAGGGCAGGGTATTGACACCAATTTCACAATTCGATTCAATATTGATTATTTTGGATATCAGGTACGATTCATGGCAAATTTTCGCAAGGAAAACAAATCACAACTAATGCTGTAAACTGGGAGTTAGTTGCAGCACACTATGCTTCATTAGCCTACTATAATATTGAAGGTAAAAATTACCTGATTTGTATACAAACACTTAAATTACACTTATATCTATTTTTATAATAATAATAATGTTATATGAAATATAAACATTTAAATGGTGGCTGCATAAAAACTTACCAGATTTGTTCAGATAACACGCATTAAATATAGAAACATTAAAAATTATAATGAATATGTAATATGGTGCATGTATTTGGCAAAATGCTGCGCTAGAGTTAATTTTTCTAGCTGGCTAACGAGTTTATGGTCACTGGATTTTTTTTTTCTGAGGTAAATGTGATGTTACATTACATTGTTTACAAGCGTTTTACTGATGTCTTTCCACGGTTGAATCACTGATTAAGCGATTCTATGTGAAAGATACGGATTTCGATAAGTTGTACTCTATCTTTTAAAGGGCATCTATTATGCCCCTTTTTACAAGATGTAATATTGGTCTCGGGTGTCCCCAGAATGTATTTGTTAAGTTTCAGCTCAAAATAACCCATAGTTAATTTATTACAACCATTTGAAAATGTCATTTTGGGGCCTGCTTAAAAATGAGCTGTTTTGGGTGTATGCCACCTTAATGCAAATGAGCTGCATATTAGGGTTGCCGCGGTGAGGAAAATTTCCCACCGGTTAATCGACGTGTGACAACACCGGTAATCCCGGTGTCACCGTGGAGGGCAGGGCGGGGGGGCTGAATAGCTTTTAAATGCGTGCGCGTTATACTTTCACTTTCGAAATAAGCATCAATTGCTTGAATGGACAAAAAAACAACTCGCTGATAATAAAACTTTTATTTATAGACAGAACTTTTATTAGCATAACGAACGAATAAAAATAACCCCATGCATAGGCTGAAAAAAGTGAAAATCGGCAAACTGTGGGCCCAAACAAACAAAACGTTTATTAACGAATAAGAAAATAAAATAGGCCTAAATAAATTACACAAAGTTTAAATGAGATAAAACCAATTAAAAAGAGACGAATATAAAATAAAAACTTCAAAACGGACCTTAGCCTACATAAATGACATACTTTCACTTTCGAAATAAGCGTCAATTGCAATTCAGCGTCAATTGCTGGAATGGAAAAAAAAAAAAAAAAAAAAAAAACTCGCTGACAATAAACTTTTATTTAGACAGCACTTTTATTAGAATAATAAACGAATAAAATATAGACAGAACTTTTATTAGCATAACGAACGAATAAAAATAAAGTGAAAATCGGCAAACTGTGGGCCCAAAAAAAATAATAAAACGTTTATTAACGAATAAGAAAACAAAATAGGCCTAAATAAATTAAACAAAGTTTAAATAAGATAAAACCAAATAAAAAGAGACGAATATAAATAAAAACTTTAAAAAGGACCTTAGCCTACATAAATGACAGCACTCTAAAAAAAAAGTAAAACACTATAAATTGGCATTTATTAACATTAATATATATTGGCCAAAATATTGCCAAACAGGCGCTTTTGCATTGCGTTTTGACACCAAATCTTCTGCCATTATCTTGCTTTTCTGTAATTTGACTCGTTCTCGTCTCCACACGTGCTAAATGGAATCCTGATGCTTGCTGATCTGTGACGTGACGGCACGCATTGCGCAGTTCATTTTTAATTATAATGCTCTCTTCAGAACTAAATAATTGAAAATTATTATTTTTAATTAATTCAAATAAATATTTTAGCAAAAACGAATACTTTAAAAAAAAAAAAGTCAAGACATCGCGGTGTCACGGTGGGAAAGTGATGTCACCGGTGATGGGGCTTAAAACCGGTAACACCGTCAACACCGTCTATCGCGGCAAGCCTACTGCATATCCCCGCCCTGCCTTTGGATGAGGGCGTAACTTGATACCTATGGCAGTCGGTACTGAGAGAGTGAGAGACGCGCTGTTTTGTCTGTCAT